TCCTAAGCACATTAGTTAAGTCCTGGACTGAATTTACTGAAAGCTGTTAAAGCATATGCCAAAACAGAAATTGTAACCGACCTTTTTCCCCACTTCCCCCCTTCCATTTTTCTACATATTCTACAGAATGCCAGACTCCTTTTAGGTACCTGCCACTGCTAGCCATGGAAGCGCCTTATGTTCACCCAGGTGATGCTTTCAGGCCCCCATTCAAGATGCATAAAAGAAACTTCACTATCCATACTTGAAATTTCCCTTTTATTAGTATTGAAATTATGTAGCTAACAGCCAAGCTAAAGAACAACCCTCTGTCCCAAACTGTACCAAATCCAACAGACATTTTCCAGTCAAAAAAGAGTATGCAGCAAGATGGTAGTAAGATAAGGGGGCGGGGGGAAGGGCCATAATCATATCCCTATTTACAGTTTTTAATCTTCCCTAAATTTGTGCCTCACTTTGAACTATCCTGGGCTGCCTAGTTTCCAGAACAGAGCTGAAACTTTACTTAAGAATACTTGAAATTACATTTGTTATTCATGAGTTTTTGAAAACCTATTTTTCTTCAACCGTACTCTCCTTCCCATCTAATAGTCAATTCTAAAAAAAATAAATAGAAAATATGAAACCTCTAGTAAAGGTAATCATCTTCAAATAATTTTTTTTTACATTCTTCTACCACATTTTTTCACCTTAACTCAGACAAATCTGCCATTATATTTTGCTCTTTCATAGATTATCTGTTCACAACTAACCTGCCATTATGCTACTTTTAAAAAAAAAACAAACAAACAAAAAAAAAACACGCCTTGCAGCCATTTTCTAGGAAACAGAACTGTGTCAGTCTACATCTACCTCTAAATTCCCAAAAGCTGTGACTCGGATGAGCAATACAATTGAGCCAGTATTTGTTTTGACGTCTGAGCATGGGAAGGAAGCTATTTCCGTAAGCTGTGTTTCACACTGGGGTCTCCAACACCCTATAGGAGTGATAAGGAGCACAGCAGAGGCTGGGAAACTATACACAACATTTTATGTACAAAATTGTCACCGTAACACAAAGCCCGAAGCGCTATGCGCATCCTGTTATGACAGCCTCAACTGGGTAAGTCACATCAGATATCTGAGTGAGTTACAACTTTTAGCAGGGTACCATAAGAGAAACATAAACCATTAAGTTTCGTATACAGTGTCTGTAATCTAGATTGTTCAAAGCTTTAGAATCACCTGCTATTAACCTGAAGCCTCCACTTCTCCAAAATCAGAAAATTAAAAGATAAAGATTTTGTATTGCTCTGCAAAGCACGTTATTTCTTAGTGAAAACTGAAAATAAATAATTCAGCCCACACTCTTCCACACGGCCACAACAGCTGCCAAATTACAGTGCCACTCCACGTAACGGCTCCCACACAGCAAACAAACCTGCGCGGCGGGGGCGGCCGCCCCG